CATATAGTAATTGAAGCTCCACATGAAGCAATTTAAAGTTTCCCTACATAACTAAAGTTCATCTCATCTTTAATGAAGCATGAATTGCACTGAAGTTCATGAAATGCTTATAGACTCCAACTCTGAGTACTATTAATGCAATTATGTTTCATATGAGTTTGTCATAAATGAAACTAAGGTGCATTCAATACAACTTTATTTTCTTGTCATACGAGGCAAAATAGAAAAATTAAATCAAACAAACTGATGAGCTGATCCGAATCAATCCAACCAAAATTGATTAGTTTGTTTCTTTTGTTGAGTTGTTGGTTTATTTGATAACCCTTGTATATTATAACAATTCAACTTTTCGTTTTATAGCCCTCCAACTACTAAGAGAAAAATATATTTGAGTAGAAGCTAAAAATATTGGGTGTTCAAGAAAAGGCATTTGGTTTAGTAGTATGATTCTCACGGGGTGCAAGAGGTTTTGAGTTCAATTCTTGAAATGCCCCTATGTCTAAATCTCTTCTTATCTAAGGACTTCATATTCGAAATCAACCTAACTTCATATTCGACATTTTATACTTACCACCATGCTCTTAATACTCATAGTCTTTCTTAACATCCCATCCCAAGGCTTCATACATACGTTTCAAGTGGTATAACAAGGGCATTTGGTCTAGTGGTATGAAAGACATTTACCAAGTAAATAAATACATTAAAATAACACAAGTGACACATATGTAAACTATGTTATTAATATTTTATTTCTATTACATCTTTCCTTATTTATGAAATAATGAGCGGAGATATTTTTCATTTTCACAATTACTCATGACGAGAGGTTTAGGATTTTTTAATGTAAGAATCGTGGGGATGTAGCTCAGATGGTAGAGCGCTCGCTTCCAATGTGGAAAGTATGGAGATCGATACCTTACATCTCCAAATGAATCGATCACTAAACTTATGAAATAATGAGCGGAGATATTTTTTCATTATCACTAAATATATTATTCCATCTTTCCTTATTTATGAAATAATGAGCGTAGATATTTTTTTCATTTTTACAATTATTGATGACGGAAGGTTTAGGGTTTTCTGATGTAAGAATTGTGGGGATGTAATTCAGATAGTAGAGCGCTCACTTCTGATGTGGAAAGTACGGGGTTGATACCTTGTATCTCCAAATGAATCGATCACTAAATATATTATTTCTTTTCAATTTTTTCTTATTTCCGACATAATGAGTAGGGATAGTTTTTCATGTCACTATTATTGATGACGAGACGTTTAAGATTTTATAACATAAGAATCGTGGGGATGTAGCTCAAATGGTAGACCGCTTGCTTTGCATGCGAGAGGTACGGGGATAGATACCACGCATCTCCAAAATAAAACTATGTTATTAAATATATTATTGAAAATTATTTCTTTTCAATTTTTCCTTATTCATGACAGGTTGAGTAGCGATATTTCTTCATTTTCACTATTATTGATGATGAAAAATTTAGGGTTTTGTGATGCAAGAATTGTGGGGATGTAGCTTCGCTTAGGATGCGAGAGGTACGGTTTAGCATACGAGAAGTACGAGGATCGATACCTCGCATCTCCAAAAGAAACTATTTATTATTAATATTTTATTTCTATTCAATATTTCCTTATTTATGACATAATATGCAGAGATACTTTTTCATTTTCACAATTATTGATGAAGGGACGTTTAGGGTTTTTTGATGTAAAATTGTGATGCGAGAGATACGGGGATAGTTTTTCATGCATCAACAAAGGAAACGATTACTAAGTATATTAGTTCTTTTAAATTTTTCCTTATTTACGACATAATGAGCGGGGATAGTTTTTCATTTTCAATATCATTGATGATGGGAAGTTTAGAGTTTTTTGATGTAAAATAGTGATGCGAGAGATACGGGGATCGATACCTCGTATCTCCAAAAGAAACTATTTGTTATTACTATTTTATTTCTATTCAATATTTCCTTATTTATGACATAATGAGTAGCGATATTTTTTCATTTTCACTATTATTCATGACGAGACGTTTAGGGTTTCGTGATGTAAAAATTGTAGAGATATAGCTTTAGATGGTAGAGCGCTCGCTTTGCATGCGAGTTGTACGGGGATTGATAACCCGCCTCTCCAAAAGAAAGTATTTAATTTGTTATTATATTTTTTCATTTTCACAATTATCGATGCCCCGCATCACCAAACCAAACTATTTGTTATTAATATTTTGATATTTTTTTATTTTCACTATTATTAATGATGGGACATTTAGGGATTTATGATGTAAAAATCACGGGGATGTAGCTCAGATGGTAGAGTGCTCGCTTTGCATGCGAGAGGTACGGGGATTGATACCCCGCATCTCCAAAAATAAGACTATCTAATACTAAATATATTATTTCTTTTCAATTTTTCCCTATTCATGACATGTTGGGTAGCAATATTTCTTCATTTTCACTATTATTGATGACGGGAAATTTAGGATTTTGTGATGCAAAAATTGTGGGGATGTAGCTCAGATGGTAGAGCGCTCGCTTAGCATGCGAGAGGTACGGGGATCGATACCCTGCATCTCCAAAAAGGAGAAATTATTTTTTTAAGTATGAATTAATTTAACATGTTATGTATAAGGTGGGTACGAGAGAGAAAAAGAAAAGATACTTATAAAAGGATTATTATATCATTATGGCTGAGTAATGTCCCACAAGCACATAGAGAGAGGACTTATTGTAAAGGAAATTTGATGAGGAATTTGATGAATTCCTTAAAAGAGATAAGAGCTTATACTACTCGTGGAAAGGGAATTGAGCTTATACTACTTGTAGTGGAAAGGGAATTTGATGAATTCCTTAAAAGAGATAAGAGCTTATACTACTTGTGGAAAGGGAATTGAGCTTATACTACTTGTAGTGGAAAGGGAATTTGATGAATTCCTTAAAAGAGATAAGAGCTTATACTACTTGTAGTGGAGAGGGAATTTGATAAATTCCTTAAAAGAGATAGTAGTTTATACTACTTGTGGAGGGGGAATTTGATGAATTCCTCAAAAGATAAGAGCTTATAGGATGGCGGTAGCGTCCCATGCATATGACGGAACTTCTTCACAATTGCAATATTTGACCAATGAATATTGTTGTCATTTGATGAACTACTTGTGGAGAGGGAAGAATTTGCTTATACTACGGAGAGGGAATTTGATGAATTCCTCAAAAGATAAGAGCTTATAGGATGGCGGTAGCGTCCCATGCATATGACGGAACTTCTTCACAATTGCAATATTTGACCAATGAATATTGTTGTCATTT